ACTGAAAACCACTCTGTTCATCACATGGGGTGGAGGGAAAGTAAATAATCAATAAATCAGTATCAATCAATACTAAGACATCGTACACAAAACAGTCATGCACAACGTGTACCAGAAGACAAGGAAACTTCTGGGTGAAGTATTGGGAGAAATTTGTGGAGGTCTTTTTGCAGAAACTAGCTCACATTTGCTTTACACGGAGAAGGAAATCACGAAAATCTTCCACGATTAGCTTGACGGCAAGTGAACTTAAATCCTTGATCTGTCAATCACTGAGGATACTTTACGTCAGCACAGTGGTCGATGCAAGTCGGGTGTGGAATTTCTATCACTTAATGATCAATAAATAAGTATCAATTAACACTAAGATATCGTACACAAAACAGTGCAGCACAACGTGCACCAGAAGACAAGGAAACTTCTGGGTGAAGTATTGGGAGAAATTTGTAGAGGTCTTTTTGCAGAAACTAGCCCGCACTTGCTTTACATGGAGAAGGAAATCACGAAAACCTTCCGAGATTAGCTTGATAGCAAGGGAGCTTTAATCCACGATCCGTCAACCACTGAGGATATTTTACGTCAACACTGTGGTCGGTGTAAGCCGTTTGTGGAATTTGTATCAACTAGACATCGCTGCTATTCGAGCCATAATTGGGATTCAAACCCATGGCACCTCATTGGGAGACGAGTGCTCTATCCCCTGAGCCCCCATGACTTATTATAATATATTTATATATGCATATAATATGCACTTGTCATTCTTCCTTTGGAATGTAGAGCACAGACTGGTAGTTTAAATTAGTTTTATAGTAGATAGTTAGATCCACCGTATATTTAAACGTAAGTACACCAAATTTGGCACGGATCGGTTCAATTATGTATTTCAATAAGGCAGTGTCTCTCAAATGGTGGTACGCGTACCCCCAGAGGTACGGGAACAGCTTAGCGGGGGGTACGCATTCTTATGCGAAATATCTATCAACATTTCAAAAAATTGTATTTAAAAACAAAGCTAGCCATGAAAATTTACAATTACGTACTTTTCCATTGGCTATTTTTTGCTGAGTTAACAGTTAATAATAAGTGGTGTCAACAGCCAGTTGTGATTTTGAACTTTTGAGCAATTTTTTATAGTGAAAAATACATTCATTTTTGTATTAGTGGTACACAGCGTTACAAAAAATTTAGAAAAGGTACACAAAAGTCATAAGTTTGGGAAACACTGCTATAAAGTATACACACTCTTACATAATCATTCTGCTTTATTTATATAGATCTGGTCTATATTAAAGAACTGAGAAAAAGAACAAATTGCCAGACTGTAAATGAGCTTTTATTTCTATTATTTGATTGATCATAATCATATCTGATCGATAGGTGATGAATAATGATCAACGTGTTGATGATCAATTTAGGAAATGTTAAAACTCCCAAATTCACCAACAAAGGTAATAATCCGAATTTACTTTGTTATTTTTTCAGCCCTTCGTTTTAAAGAAAATATAATATTGATTAGTTTTAATGCGAAGCAAGCATTTTTAGAATTCGTATATGCCAATATAAAAAATAACGTGCTTTAAATACCTTAAGAGTTTACAACAATGGTAAAATACACATTGAACGAAGTAATTGACAAAACTATTTACTTTACAGGAAACACAACCTGAAAATGCATCATCCATCTGTGAAAGTTACCACTACCTTTTTATAAATGATATTTGACTGAAAAAGTTTCATCAGCCAATAATACCAGATGGTTACTGATCAGACCTGTTCAAGTAACCAACAACACAAAACCGATACTTGCTTGAGAAGTTTGTTTACTGTCTGATCTATTGCTCAAGGATCAAAGAGACCACTACATGAAAAAAAAGAGGAACAAATAACCGAACCTTTTAGGCTTAGAAGATAAATAAACTTCGATTCCTGTAACTCGATTAATCATGAGGGCATTGTTGTGTGAGAGCATAAAACATTTGTCAAAGGTGGGTTAAGCTTAGCTGAAAAGGATAAAATATTATAAGTTTTTTTCAAGTTCTTTATTCATTTGGGAGAACTTATTCAATGAGAGCTCTTCATTATTTTTTTTTATTCGAATCCGAAAACTACTTTGAATGGGAAAGGAAATTAATTTACTAGTTTGAGTTATAAGTTTCTTTTCACTCATGTATGGAAAGAGTTCCTGTACTTTCTTAGTAATACACATTGGATTGTGATATTGAATTGAGTGATATAATTTCTTTTTTAATTTATGGAGTGTAAGAAAACATCTCGATTGAGGAAATCTAAATACAATGCGAGTGAAAGTCTATAATTCTGATTCCAAAAAATCTAAGCGTTTGCTTGACAAAGGATAAACTTCATTAGTTAAAAAAATTATACTAGGATATAAAAGGTCGGAGTGTTTTGAGCGGTCAAAACCAACACACTCATTCTCAAGATCCAGTTCATGAGAATGATAAAATCAAAACTGAAAACGCTACGAAAAAGAAAATTTAAAAGCAAAGCAAGAGAAATCGTGGTAGCCGAGAGAAACAACGGTGGCAGACAAGGAGTTGGCACAAAACACGTCGATCTTAATAACTTTTAAAGTTCATGATGATGCTTTATAATAATTTTTTTTCTTCTCGCTTATTTTTCTTGGAGTCATTAATTTTCTTTCAAAAATTTATTTATTGGCATACATTAAAAAGCTATTCAAGTTTCCTCATTGAGACTATTTAACATGAAAAATTAGAAGATAGTCGGTACTTTAAATATATATTTAGAACTTGTTCTAATCAAAATGATTTTCATAATACTCCTTAACTCCCTGTCCACGTTTGCAAAATGAACAATATTTTTTCAAAAATACAACATACACATTTTTCAAATATAAAAATTAATTTTTTGCCTAAACTATTAACACCAGAAAAATAATAACTAGGCTTTAATAATAATAACTATGTAAAATACAATGAATATAACTTACAATGAAATTGTTTCCCCATCTACGCATTATAATACACACTATTCATTAGCATGCACATGAAATTTTGCATTCAACTGAACTAATTAATTTTGTTTAAATACAACAAAAAACATTTTAAATTAGAGATTGGTGTATATTTATAACTAATAGAAGCTTAGAGTGTAATCAGCCGCTAAGTCGTACTAACAAGAATGACTTAAAGTGTAATTAAACATTTAATCTACATATATGAAAATGAATATCTGTTTGTTTGTCTGTGTCTCATTTATAGACTCTTAAACCACCAGACGGAAAAGCAATGAAATTTGGCATACAGATAGTTTTAAGAACGAGGAAGGTCACTGTCGAAATTAGAAAATTCTACGACCAAATGTTCAAGCCAGATAGCCGAGAAACAAAATTGAAATTTTCAGATTGGTTAATCACTAGACATTGTTTTATCTGGGATACCTGCAAGTGGCATAATGTGGGCATCTCGGTCCTGATCACCGTGGTATTTGCTTACGTTGGCAACTGTTCTTTCCATTCTATTTTTAGTAAACCAAGCCCGTCAAGTATAAATACTCTTAAATGAGGCATTCGATATTTTTTCACAAATATTTGCATTCTTTTATTAGGTATTTACACGAAAAATTAACACAAAGACAGGCATGAAGCCATGTAGAACCTGAACAAAGATGCACGCAGTTGCCAGTACATAAAAGTACATATAACGAAATACACAAAAGTACATAAAACATGCGAAGTCTGAAAAGCAAAAATTTATCACTGTTACAATAAAATACGTAAACAAATAATAAATCTAAGTTCAGTAAAAGACGCAGACGAGAACAATTTTATTTTATTATAAATTCGATGTGCAATACAGTGTAGTATTTAATTAACTTCTGGCTAATTAACATTCTAACTTATAAGGAGAAACTTAGCTCAACTTTAACTCGCCAGTTTGCTGATAAGTAATAAGTTGGTGCTGACGTCAGAGGACACATGCGTGTGCATCGGCGATCTTCTTCTAGAAGGGCAAGTACCCAATTTAACTACAGACGATTCAATTTTTCAAATATACTAGGAGGCTCCGCCCCCTGCTCGCTAACGCTCGCCAACCCCCGAGAATTGCTACGCAATCCTCTGTGGTTCACGCCGTGAACCATGGCTCGCTGCGCTAGCTCGCCAATGAACACAATGTATTAGCACAAAGACATAATATATTATCATCAAAGACATAGTATTTTATNGTTCTAATCAAAATGATTTTCATAATACTCCTTAACTCCCTGTCCACGTTTGCAAAATGAACAATATTTTTTCAAAAATACAACATACACATTTTTCAAATATAAAAATTAATTTTTTGCCTAAACTATTAACACCAAAAAAATAATAACTAGGCTTTAATAATAATAACTATGTAAAATAACATTAAGTAATAATAACGATATATCTTACAATGAAATTGTTTCCCCATCTACGTATTATAATACACACTATTCATTAGCATGCACATGAAATTTTGCATTTAACTGAACTAATTAATTTTGTTTAAATACAACGAAAAACATTTTAAATTAAAGATTGGTATATATTTATAACTAATAGAAGCTTAAAGTGTAATCAGCAGCTAAGTCGTACTAACAAGAATGACTTAAAGTGTAATTAAACAATTAATGTATCTATATAAAAATGACTATCTGTCTGTTTGTCTATGTCTCATTTACGGACTCTTAAATCACCCGACCAAATGCAATGAAATTTGGCATGCAGATAGTTTTAAGAGCGAGGAAGGTCACTGTTGAAATTCGAAAATTCTACGACTAAATATTCAAGCGAGATGGCCGGAAAACAAAGTGGAAATTTTCAGATTGTTTAATCACTAGAAATTGTTTTATCTGGAATACCCGCAAGTGACATAATGTGGGCATCTCAATCCTGATGATCCGTGGTACTTGTTTACGTTAGTAACTGTTCTTTCCATTCTATTTCTAGTAAACCAAGCCCGTCAAGTATAAATTCTCTTAAATGACGCATTCGATATTTTTTCACAAACATTTGTATTCTTTTATTAGGTATTTACACGAAAAATTAACACAAAGACAGGCATGAAGCCGTATAGAACATAAACAAAGATGCATCGCAGTTGCTAGTATACACAAAAGTACATGAAATGAAGTACATAAAAATACATTAAATATGCGAAGTCTAAAAAACAAAAATTTATCACAGTTATAATAAAATGCGTAAACAAATACTAAGTTAAATAAAAGACGTAGACGAGAACAATTCTATTTGGTTGAAAATTCGATGTGCAATACAGCGTTGTATTTAATTAACTTCTGTTTAATTAACATTCTAACTTATGTGGAGAAACTTAGCTCAACTTTAACACTGCAGTTTGCTGATCACTAATAAGCTGGTGCTGACGTCAGAGGACACATGCGTGTGCATCGGCGATCTTCTTCTAGATGGGCAAGTACCAAATTTAATTACAGATGATTAAATTTTTCAAATATATTTGTTAGTAGAACAGCTTTCAGAAAGGATTCTGCAAGTAAAACAGGGGAAGTTCATCAAAGAAATTTAAAAAAAAGCTTTCTGGATTTATATTTATTCTACAATTATTAAGTTTTGCATTTTTAATATCAATTGCGAAAGATTCTTGTAAGTAATTATTTTTTGATGTATGGTAAAATATCAACGAGAAATGTTGCCATAGCTGTATGGCAAAGGTGTACCATAGCCTATGGAAATATATTTCTTCATAAGCTGTAGCACATCTTAGTTTTATGGCAAAAATTTGCCATATAAAAATGCCATAGGATGTTCCTATGGGGTTTTGCCTATGGTAAAATTTTGCTATACACTTTTGCCATATAAAAAAATGCCATAGGATATTCCCATGGGGTTTTGCCTATGGTAAAATTTTGCCATATACGTATGGCAAAATTTTGCCATGCATGTATGGCAAAAATTTGCCACATAAAAAATGCCATAGGATATTCCTATGGGGTTTTGCCTATGGTAAAATTTTGCCATACACTTTTGCCATACATGTGTGGCAAAATTTTGCCATATACGTATGGCAATTGCCAATTACCATAGGCAAAACCACTTAGGAATTGGCATATTTTTATGGCAAACCTATGGCAAATTTTCCTAAGGGGTAGGAAAAACTGTTGCCATAAATGGGTGAACCTAGTCTGCAACTATGTTCAAGTAGCTTACAGACGTCAGGGATTGTTCTATGAGGATTAGGGGTCCTAATGCGCCCCATGAAAACATTGTTCCTGGGCGAGAAACCATGAAAACCTGGGCGAGCCCATTGTTATAGATGGAAGGTGGTAATAAAGTAATGGCTCTTCGGCGTATAAAGTATTAAATTGATATATTTAGTAATTAATAAAACTAAACCCACACTAAGCATTTTTAAAAGCTATAGTGTAGAAATAAGTGCCTTGCGTTCCATTGGAAGATAAATTTTGCTAGTGATAAATTCCCTAGTGATAAATTTTGACTATCATGAGTTGCCCGTGACAATATCTCCATGCCAAATAACGCTAAAAACAGTTAATCTCTATTCTAATGACATGAAGTACAGAAAATTATTTTTATTAATATAATAGCTCAGGATAGAGTGTTCGCCTTCCAATGAGGTGACCCGGTTTCGAATCCCAACTATGGCTGGTCGATACGAATCCGCCTCCAGCTTATACCGAAAACAGCGCTGACGTGAAATATCCTCAGTGGTAAAGGATCATGGGTTAGAGTCCCTTTGCTGTCAGGCTAACCGTGGGAGTTTCTCGTGGTCTTCCTCCTCATGTAACGCAAATGCCATTTAGTTCCATAAAAAAATCCTCCGTGAAGGCAAATTTTCACCCATACTTGATCCATGAATTCCCTTGTCTTCTGGATTGGGTTCAAACAAAGAGGTCTTCGGAATTGAACATAAGTAGTCGTAAGCCCTAATTTGGGTCGGCTGTTCAACGACGGTTATAAAATAAAACATAATAACGTAAAGCCGCAGACAAAGGTAACAAATACTTATGAATAAAAATATTACTTTAGCTTCATTAATTGAAGAGCTTATTAGAAAAGCGACATTTTCAGACAGATATTAGCTGGGTAAAAAAAATAAATGGTCTCCTAACTACACTCTATAACAAAAAAATCGACGCACCAAGAAGGAGTTGTCCGATTGAAACGAAAATTGGTGGATATGAAGACAATGTGCGGAATAGTAAATGATTAAAATTTCAGAACAATTGAATATTTTAATGCAGAGTTACAGTAACAAGTTCAATAAGGTGTTGACCCGCCTCTAGCCTGGATACAAGCTGCCACGCGGCGTGGCATAGACCTAAATGCTCCCGGATGGTCTCTTGCGGTATTTCCTGCCAAATTCGATCCAATTGTCGAATGAGGTCATCAGCATTCCATGCCAGATGCAGTCGCCTTCTCATAATATCCCAAACATGCTCGATGGGAGAGAGATCTGGTGATCTGGAAGGCCAAGGAAGAGTTTGACAAGCTTGCAGACAGTTCATAGCAACACGTGCCGTATGTCATCTGGCATTGCTCTGCTGAAAAACCAGCCCAGGGCGCTGCAAAAGGAACGGTAGCGAAACAGGTCTTAGGATGTCGTCGACGTACCGCTGTGCAGTAAGTGTACCTCTAATGACGACCAAAGGAGTCCGGCTGTCAAAGGAAATGGCACCCCAGACCATAATGCCTTGTTGAGAGCCGGTGTGGCGAACAATAGTGAAGGCAGTATCCCCCCTCTGCCCTGTGTGTCTCCAAACACGTCTTCGATGATCGTCAGGAGACAGTAGGAAGTGGGATTCGTCGCTAAAGACTATACGTCCCCAGTCGGCATCATTCCAGCCTGATTGAGCGTCGATTTTGCGCGTCTTAGTGCGTTCTTGGTGCGTCGATTTTTTTGTTATAGAGTGCATTTTAATATTGATTAATTAGAAGGTGGGATTAATAATACTCTGCCTTATTTTATTTACCACTGCCTAATTTAAAACAAAAATCAGGCAAGCATTCTAAAACTAATGTGAATAAGTTACGTTAATATTAAAGTGAAAGCAAAAACAATTCTGTTACATTAAATATACCCATATTGACCTTTATCATTTTCACTGTTTCCTAAATTCCTCAAAAAATGTTACTTACCTGTTTTTTTTCCCTTACCTCTTCAATTGTGTCAGAATATGACATTTAGTTTTGTTCATGATTTCGTAGTATTGGTCAGCAATAATTAACTGATATTTATTTTTTATTCACCCAACACAAAGCATGAGAATTCAACTAGTATTACAAGTAAAAAAAAATTAATGATTTTAGGTGCTAATTTCTAATATATTAATTATTTTGATGCAACTGTGGTGATTTTTGAGTTAATTATAATAAAATCCATTTAGCTGAAATTGTTGCATGTCAAAAAGATTATGAATTGGCAATAGCATCCTTCTGTTATTGCTATAGGAAAACTCGTGCCTTTGTCACGCGATGAGAGTTATGCTCTAACGTAATGTCAGCCATAATTTTTTCTTTTTTTTCTTCATTCGTCCAATTGCTGTCGGTTTTCTAAATCAATTCTCAAATTCAGAAACTCACAAAAATAGTATCTGGATTAATAAGAATTTCCTTTAAGATTTTTACAGCTAGGAGGTAAAAATTGAAATAGTTTATAAGTTAATAAAAAAAATTCTACTCTGCAGATAACATACATGTTACAAAATAAAACTATTATACCTAACGACAACTAATAAGACTAAAAATACTCTTAAAGTTCTTTTTGCGTTTAAGAAAGTTTTATCAAAAATATACTAAGATAAAATGATTAAATATATGGATCCCATTGTAATGAAAACTGCTTAGATAAATTTTAAAATGTTTATCAAAATTTTATTTTCATTTAAATGTACAGTTGTTACAGACCTGATCTAGCAAAAATTGTCTAGTCATGATGGTAAAGAAGTCTGAAAACTTTCGGCAATAGGTATTTTCATTTCCGTTAATAAAAATGTTGGCTGCTTTAAAAAAAGCTTTAAAAACGGATGCTTAAAACTTAGGAATATATAAAAATTTAATAACATTTCAAAAATTAATTAAACACAAATAAGTACTGCATGCCGATCACCGGCTTTGGATTGATAAGCTCTTGATCAAATAATGCATGTGCTATGCCACTGCGGCACCAAAGTTTCAGAATGCCCGCAATATTTTTACTTTTTTTCATAGGACTCGTACATACAGCATATAGCATTTTTAATGGGGTTGGCACATATTTCATAAATAATAAAAGCAAAAGTAACCTAAAAATAGAAAAATATTCTTCACCTTAAAATTTGTAATAGTTTTGTTTAATACCAACTGTTCCTTCTGAAGTGATTCAATTCATGCCTAAATTAAGTTAATTAGAGAAATTATCTGGCCACTGACAAATATGTAAATATTTATTGGGTTCTTCAAACATTGATTCATTGCGGTCCATATTTTTAAAAAGGTTTTCTCTCTTGGCGCAATTATTTTTCAAACGAAAATGGTACACTTTAACTAAAACAGAAGTAAATAACTAATAATATCAAATAAAGCCCAACATCGGAATATTTATGATTTTATACTGAGTACGACAGAGAACCACGTAGACTTATATCACTAGTGAAAATTTAATCAAAAATCAGCGTAGTGTAAATAAATGTATTGAAAAAACAATTATCTGGCGTACCTCATGAATCAATCCACAGGCATCCCTTAGGAAAATTTGCCATAGGTTTGCCATAAAAAAATGCCATAGGATATTCCTATGGGGTTTTGCCTATGGCAAAAATTTTGCCATATACGTATGGCAGAATTTTGCCATACATGTATGGCAAATTTTTNATTGATATATTTGGTAATTAATAAAACTGAACCCATACTAAGCAATTTTTAAAGCTATAGTGTAGAAATAAGTGTCTTACAAGATAAATTTTGAAGATCCCCTTGAAAGATAAATTTTGATAGTGATAAATTCCCCTTGATAGTGATACATTTTGACTATCATGAGGTGCCAGGAACAATATCCCCATGCCGAGTAACGTTAATTACAGTTAACCTCTATTCTGATGACATGAACTACAAAAAATTATTTTTCCTAATATAATGACGTAGAGCCACGATGGCTCAGGGCATTAAGTCTTCTCTCTCCCAATGAGGTGACCCGGTTTCGAATACCAACTGTGACTGGTCAATACGAATCCACCTCCAGCTTACACCGAAAACAGTGCTGACGGAAATATCCTCAGTGGTAAAGGATCGGGTTAGAGACCCCTTGCCGTCAGGCTAACCGTGGGAGGTCCTCGTGGTCTTCTTCTTCATGTAACTCAAATGCGGGTTAGTTCCATATAAAAGGCAAGTTTCCACCCATACTTGATCCATGAGTTCCCTTGTCTTCTGGATTGGGTTCAAAATTACAAGGCTACGGAGTTGAACATAAGTAGTCGTAAGTCCAAATTCGGGTCGGCTGTTCAACGACGGTTATAAAATAAAATACAATAA